TTGGTGAGCTCCTGCAAGGCGCTGCCCGCCGCGGCGCCCGCCGCCGCCGCGCTGCCGTTGGGCTCGCCCTTGAAGGCGTTGCTCAGCGCCTCGTCCTTGCTGTTCTGCAGCACCGACACCCAGCTGGGCAGCGGGGAGCCGAGGTCAGGCCACCCGCTGCCACCCTGGGCCAGCGGCCCTCGTGCCAGGCCGGCCCAACGCTCCCGGGGTCTCCGAGTGCGTAAGGAGATGGATGAGGTTTGCCCAGCCTGGAGCAGGAGCCCCGTGTCCTGCACCCGAGGCAGCCGCTTTACTCACGATGGGGGTTTAAAGCGGTGCCTTTGCCCACCCGTGGTGCCCACCTCGTGGGACGGAGATGGGCCGTGTCACTTACACAACGCACTCCTGCTCATCCTCCGCTTGGAAGTGATATGTCCTGTTGTCTGCAGGGAGGAGGAGGAGGAAGAGGGGAGAAAAAGGTGAGGGGGAGATTCAGGAGAGCCCAAGAGAGGGTCTGAAACGACTCCAAAGGGCTGCATTTAAAAAAAATAAAATCACTACATGTCACCCTTTCACCACCACATCCTTGCCCCACACTCTCCTTTGGGTCACAGATGTCTTGACCGTGATAGATCCCACCCTATTCCTTGGAGGAACTTGTCCTTCCTCCACACGGGCAGCCCAGGAGACGCCCAGTCGGATTAGAAGGGCAAAGTGTGCCCAGGTACCTTGGCAGAGCTCCACAGGGAGCCGGGAGAACCCGCTGGGACTGGTTTGGAGAAACTCCCTTAGCAAAGGGAGCTGATCTGGAGGCGGCCAGGCTGCACATGTCGACACTCCCGCCCCTCGCCGCCTCCGGATCGGAACCCCAGGGCAAATCCTGGCCACGGAGCCACCCGCCAGCCGGGGCAGGAGGGATGACGGAGCAAACAGCATACACAGTGCTGGAACCTCCCTCCCCATCACTCACGGGTCACCAGGTCAAAGCACTTCTTCTCCTCGGCGTGAGGCCGCACTTGGCAGGTCAGGAGGTTCAGTTTGACCGGGGGCCGGTTTATCTGTGTGGAGCAAGGACAGAGCCACATGAAAGGGCTGGGGTGAGCAGGGAGCTGGAAGACGGAATGAGTCGCTGCTGTTCAAATGCACTGGTGGAGGGGCATGGCCACCAATGTGTCTCCTACAGCAGCCACCGCCTCAGCAGGAGGGCAACCAACCCCAGATGGTCCCTCAGCCTCTTGATCCCGGTGGGATGACAGTGCCAGTCAGATGGTCTTGGGCCCCTGCAAGCTCCCTTTGAAGGAGGTCTTGGACCCCTCCATGTTCCCTTTGCCGGAGGTTTTGGACCCTGCGCGCGCTCCCTTTGCAGGAGGGCCCATGGGGACCCATCTCCGTCCTCCTTCCTCTCTGCAGTTCAGGGCCTCCGCCCCCAGAGGGCAGCAGCTGCCTCCAGAACGGCCTCGGCCCCTTTGACCCACTCTGGAACCTCAACGCCCATCTCGCTGCCCGTGCCAAAAACGTCTCCTTGGCGTTGGCACATGGCAAAACGCGGGGGACACGAGACGTGAGCAGGGAGCTCCCCACTGGGTATTTCCAGGCCTGGACTCAGGCACTGCTGAGCCCCTGCTTCTCCAGGTGAGATTTCAAGCCAGCGTGGGCTAAACTAAACCTGACCTCAAAGCAACAACACTCAAAGGATGCATTCAAGGACCAGGTGGGTCCTACAGAAAACGTCTACCCCATCTGGTCTTGCATTACTTGGAAGTCGTGGTCTGGTGGCGGCTTGTTTTCCTGCCAAGACCCACAGGGTGTAGTTGGGACTTTCCAGCTAAAGGAGGGATCCTCTGGAAGATATGAAGGAGTGGAGGCTTCCGGGTCACATTCCCAAAGGGCAGGGTCTGCACACAGGCATGCCCAACAGCAGGTTGCTCTTGGAGCTGCCATCCCCGTTGCTTACCGTGCTGTGGGAGATGGTGAGACAGCCGTACTTCACGCCGCACTTCCTCTTCTGCCACACTTTCCGAATCCTGAGCCGGAGAAGGAAAGAGGAATCGTTACCCAGCCTGATCACCCCCATCTCTCCATCACCCCAAACCACCGCCGATTGCTCTCTGGTTGTTGTACTCGCCCTCACCCATCGCTCTTCTTGTACAGAAACCCCGACTTCTCCGTCCCGTACTGCTTGTTCCCTTGGTGCTGGTGGATGCTGTAGCCATTGCCAGAATTCTTCCTGCTCAGGTTTTCCTGAGCTCACCAGGGAAAAAAAGGTATTGAAAGAAATGAGAAGCAGTTGCGGTGTCCGTGCCAGAGTGACCTAGAGCTGGAGAACACTGCCTGGACACCGGCAACGTGCCCATCAGGACAGGAGAGCTCCTGCAGTCCTTGCCCTTCTCCCAGTGTTCCCCACTCCTCCTGCTCTGCCACCTCTTGCGGATGTCCCCCTTGATCCCCGGCTTCCCTGTCTCCGCTGCCTGTTGTCCCGGGTCTCACCTCTTTGCTCTCCAGCTGCAGGATGCTCCGGAGGGAATCGCGCGTCTGCGTGAGCTGTTTCACCTCCTCCTCCTGGGCTTGGTGGAGCTGGGAAGAGAAGCAGCTGCTGTCACTGCTGTGCTGAACGCATGTGTTCTCAGCACCTCGGGGTGGCGCAGGGGACCGGGGGACATGCAACAAGAGGGAAACGTGACATCTTAGCAGGTGTCTGAGCAGCGCTGGACAGAAGGATGGAGCACTTACTGCGTGGAGGGACACAGCGAGCTTCTCAATGAAGGGGTAGAGGTTCTGGGCAGCCTTCCAGCCATCTTGGAAGAAACTGGGCATTTATTTCATTCAAGTAAGGAGAGATGCAAATGGGGAGGATGGAGAAAAAGAGGTTATTTACAGAAAACGTGACAGGAGAAATGAGCAACCTCCCAGGAAGCTGCTTTTGCTCTGCGGCTCCCCTGCTAGTAGGGCCTAGGGATAGACACTGCTGAAGGATGATCCAGCCCAAAGGGTTGGGACAACCCAAACATCTGGGGACACAGGACTGGCCTTGCATTCAGTAGAAGCTCCTCTCTCATCTCATGAGGATCCATGCTGGCCCAAGGCCGGATTGTGAGGACTGGACCCCAAGCAAGGACGTGCTCTTGGCCAACACAACTGCATCCTCCCTGCCCTGGTTTCCCCACTGGTGCAACAGAGGTGACCCTCGTCCCAGGCTCACTGGTGAGCAGCACCTACTTGTGCTGAGCGTGGAAGAACTTGATGAGGCTCTGCAGGAAATCTGGCCCTTGCTTCATCTGGCTCTCGCTGGCTTTCAGCAGGTACTGGGGAGGGAGAAGGCACCAGGTTAGGCAGCAAAAGCGAGGACTACCTGAAAACTCCCAGGAGAAAGAGCACGATGGGTGAGACAGTAGTGAAGACCATAGCGAAGCAGTTCAGAAACTGGGATTTCTCACTACCAGTGGACAGCACATTGAAAGGGAGGAGGGTTAAAACTTTGGCTCACTTTCAAGATGCCGAGTCAAGATGTAGGATTTGAAGGCAGCTCGCTGGGGACCACCCTCGGAAAAAAACCTGGATTTGGAAGTCTTCCAAGCCTGGGGAAGTTCAGGGGCCAAGACAGGCCCCTCGGGTTACCAACGGAGCATGCCTCACTCGCTGCTTATTACTTCTGGAGTTAATAAATAACCCCAACCCAGCGCAGCTGAAGAAAACATAAAATAGGCCAAATATTTTCAAGACGCGACCCCTTTGCTCCCAAAATCACATCTTGAGCAGAGAGCGCCTGCAATGCAGCAGCCCCGGAGGCCACAGTCCTTCACGGTGACATCCTGGGGGACAAGCGCCCGTGGCGCTTCAGCCTCATAAACCAAACCAATCAATCGGCCGCAGGCAGGAAAAAAAAAAATCTCAAAATTTGGGTCACATGAGCAGAAAAAAAGCAAAGCAAAGAGAAATTTCCCTCCGCAGGCTCATCTCCAGGCTTGCGCAGCTGTCAAGTTGCCCAGGAGGTAAAGTTTCCTCCCGGCCGCCGGCGCGCGCTCTCCTGGGGATTGCGAGCAGGAGGCGAGTGGAGGGGGAGGCGCTCGAGCCGCTCCTCCAGCTGCGGAGCGCTCCGGGCCTTTTCCATGGCGAGGAAACCCTGGGAGGACCGGCGGAGTGCAGAGGGGAAAACACTTCAGGGCAATCCCGGCCCAAACTCTGCACTGGCCCCAGAGATGCCCATGGGATGCTGTGGATCAAAACCCGGGTGTAGCAATTTGCAGGGTGGATAAACGTGTCGAGAAGCTGGATTAATGTGCCGAGAGCTGTGAAAAATGGCAGCGTGGCCCAGGGGAATGCACCATGCCGGGCTGGGAAGCAGGAGCGGGAGAGGATGCAGGAGCAACGCTCAGAACAGGGGGGTTCCCACTGCTGTGCGGCCAGGGATGGGGCAGGACGCCTGGGTCCCTGTCCGGGCTCCAAGTGATTCCTTGGGAGGGGTGCGTGGTTGGGCCACGTCGCTGCTCAGGGTTCAGTTTCCTCTACCCAGGCACAACCAGGAGCTTCCAGGGACAAAGGGCCTGTTAAACCGCTCCAGCCCATCAGGAACTGCGGAGCCGGAGGGACTCCCAACCTGGAGCCCTGAGCATTGGACCAGCCCTGGGCAAAGTCCCAGCCGGAAAGGACCACAGATGCCTGGCTCCCGCGGAAGCTCCCTGCTGCCAAGGGAGGTGCCGGGAGAGTCCCAGCTCTCCGACCTCCCACCTGGAGCAGGGGGATACTCCCAGCACCGCAACGGATCAGGATCTGGCCATTCCAAACCCCCTCAATATCAATCTCGGGAAGAAAATGGAGCACATGCCCACCCCAGGAGCAGCAAATCCTGCATGCAGATGCATGTATATGTATGCATGCATGCAATGCATGCAAAACCAGCCCCTGGCCCACATGCAGCCCGGGTCCCCCCGAAAGCAGCATCAGGGGGTGCAAGACCCCCACGCAGCCCCTCTCTGCAGGGCTGCCTGGCCCCTCCCCAGCGGCGCGGCCCCGCGCCGAGCCCTGCGCCGCTCGCCCGGCCCCAGCCTCCCGTGGGGCCGAGGGCGCCGCGCAGCCCTGCGTGGGACACGGGGGACGCTGCATCCCGCATCCCGCCCCGGCTCCTCCCAGGATTTTGCGGCAGGCCTGGCTCCTACCTCGCACATGTGGAGCTGGAAGAGCCGCCGCTCCCTCTGCGCGTCCTCGGCCGCCTCCGGCACCGCGGGCTGGGGCTGGGGGAGCCCGGCCAGGCGCGCTCGCTCCTTCTCCTTCTCCATCTTCCCTCTGCTGGGCAGGAGGCGGGAAAGGGTCCCGCAGCAGAGCTGGGATGTGCGGATGGGGCAGCGGGATGCACCCGCAGGGAGGAATAGGAAGAATTCCCTCCATGTTCATGTCCTTCCAGCAGGGAGGATGGGAGTGGGGATAAGGGGACAAGGGCTTTCCCACTCCTCTCTAGCTCTTGGGAATGCAGCACCAGCCACAGCCCCAGGACAAAACCCCTTTGTGTGCTGGGGGATTAGGCCAGAGGCAACCGTGACTTACACTTTGGTCTCATAATCCTTCCAGGCCTTCTCGATCTGCTTCTTGGAGTCCTGCAGAGGAGCAGGGCAGCGGTGAGGGACCCCACAGCACTGCAGCAGTGTCCGGCCACCCAAGTCCGGCGACCCGACAGGGACATTCCCCAGCTCCAGCCATCACAGCCCTTGACAACCCCTTGCAGCAGCTGGGGGACGATGCCACCTCCCCCGGCCGCTCTGTCCCTCCAGAGGGGACTCACCAGGCGCCCGTCCTTGAGCTGCCCCTTCAGCAGGCTGTCCAGAGGGAAGGACACGATGTTGTTGAGGTTCTGCACCTGCCGCGGCGGAGAGGGCAGCGTGGCGATGGCACCAGCGTCCCCACAGCGTGGGGACGGCCCCGCCAAGGGTTAAGGAGGCTGCAATGGGCGGCCGCAGGCAGCGGCGGGGCAGGCCGGGGCTCGCTGCTGCAACACGGGTGACGTGGGGCCCTTCCCACTAACCGCCCTGGCGCCTGCCGGGGAAATCGCTGCTCTATCCTCGTCCCCCTTCCCTGGCAGGGACACCCCAGCGGGCACCCTGTGACACTGGGAGGTTCCCGGCATCGTCCCAAGCTGCGTCCCCGCTGCCGGGAGCAGGGATCACCAGCGCCCTGCAGGGATGCAGCTCATCCCTGCTCCGGAGACGCGGCTCTGCACTTGCCTTCAGCCTCGAGGAGGAGGATGAAGCAGGGGGACGTGGCCGGGGGGTCTCAGCAGCAGCCCCGGTGCCTGTTCCCACCTCTCCCACGTGCAGGGCATGGGCGCGCAGCGCTTCCCTCGCCCCAGGAACCGGTTGGACTTCTTTGCCCGGCCGCTTCCCCGAAAAGCGTGGGAGAGCACGCGGGGGCTCCGGGCAGGGATAACTGGGAGGAGGGAGGGCAGGCGGCAGGGAGGCCTGGTAGGGTAAACGTCAGGGAAGGCCACTGAAAGTGCCCCCAAAACGCAGGTAACCCACAACGGGACACTTGGGCAGTTCGTCTTTTTCCAGAGTCGGCAATGTCCCTTTACAGGGCACCAGCGGCTGCCCCGGGCACCACACACCCGGCTCCCTCTGGCAACCTGCTTCCCAAGATGGAGCTTTCCAGCTCCCGCCTGGGCCTCCGGCAGCCCTCACCTCCCCGGAAAACAAGAGGAAGAAAAACGAAACAAAAAGCAGCTTCTCCCAGCAGAAAAGCAGGGAGCCGGCACTCCCTCCCGCTCCCCGGGGCCGCTTGGATTCGCTTTCTTGGCAGAGATGCAATGGATGCGAGATGGGGTGAAGAGGGATAAATAAACAAGCGAAGAGCACAGCCCAAAGCGGATCGTGGCGGTCACGGCCCCGGCAGAGCCGGGAAGGAGCAGCAAAATGCAGCACAGGGGTCTTGGTTGTGCTCGGAGCACCGACCGCCCACCCACCCCAGGCAATATCCAACCGGGGATGTTGTGCCCGTGATGCTGGGCACCTACCAGGTTCTTGAAGAGCGCGGTGACCTCGCGGGTGAAGACGGCCAGGTTGAGGAAGCCGGTGGAAAGCTCGTGGTTGTTCTGCGAGAGGTGGTTGTTGCCGAAGGTCTCCAGGGCCTCGCTGTACTGCTCCTCGTTCTCCGCGTGCGCTGGGCAGGATACAGCCCCGGTGAGACCCCCGCAGCACCCCATGCCTGCGGGATGCTCGGAGCATCCCCCCTACATCCCTGCATCCTCAAACAAGGATACTCTGGGATGCTCAAGGACCCCCCTTTCCCTCCCTCTTTTTAAGCTTGCCTCCCCGTGGATGGGCATGGAGGCTGCTCACAGACCATGGGAACATCCAAGGCACTGCCCAGGCAGGGGGATGCCCGGCGCCTCCCAGAGCCCGACTTACTGAGCCCGGAGACATGAATGGCTTTCACATATTTCCTTATCCTCTGGAGTATGGCTTGGTCCCCATCCAGGCTCTGTGAAAGCGCAGAAACAAACCCCAATGAGATCCCGCGCCTCGCCAAGCACGGCCGGCCCCCCCGGCCCAGCTGGCCACACTGGGCCCTTGCAGCGGCGCTTGCTCTGCCACGCAGATGTGCGGGGCCGCAGCCAAGCTGCCGAGCCCCAGGGATCCCAGCACCGGCCTGGGGATACCAAGAGCCGTGGCTCCGTCCTGGGGTCCGTGTGCTGCCGGGAAGGGCTTTGGCTGCACCTGGATCGGCTGCGCGCGAGCGAGGTGGCAGCGCCGGGTGATGGGCTCGGGGAGTGCTCCTGGCACACGGGGAGCGGGGATGCTTTGTGGCTGCAGCAGTGGGGGGTAGCATCTGTTTGGAGCCAAGCAGCTTCCAGTCACCATGGAAAATGCCTCCAGAGCAATCACGGGAGACGTGATTGGGATGGGGATACACAGGGACATCCCATCACGTAACGGGGACAGCCAGCCTGTCCCCACCATGCAGTCAGGGTGGACACAGCAGAGTGCAGGGCTCCACGCAGAGCACAAAACACATCCCCCACCTTTCCAAGGCCCAACAAGGCCTTCAACCACGCGGACAGCAAATCCCAGAAGCAGGAAAGCTGCCAACCATGGACATGCAGGATAGCGGTTGTGGGGATCCCTTCCCATTTCATCCCATAATGGAGACTCCCCGGTCACCACCCCTCCACATCACTCCCTTGCCAGCACCTCTATCTGACTGGGATGCATCTGACCTGCAACCGCTGAACATGGAACACCGGGAAAAGGAGCACTGCAGGCAGCCAGCTGCGGACGGCTCCATCAGGAAAGAGTTAAAGGCAGCTTGGCTGCGCCGCAGGTACCAGAGGCATGATAACAGACTGGAAATATTTGGAGGGCGTGAACGGCAAGAAGGGCGAGGGATGAAACCGCGGAGGAATTGCAAGAAAGAGCCACTCGCTCGCTCGCCGGAGGTTTTCGGGCTGATGTCAAGGCCGATTTCCTGACAGCGGGGTCAGCCCGGCTCCAAGGGAGGCAGGATTTGGCGGGGCCGAGGAGGTTGGGGTGGAGGGAAGAGGCGGGAAGCGGCCGCCCCCGGCCATGGTTGCCCCATGGTGCTGGGGAGGCCTGAGAAAAACACCTTTGTCATCCAGGGGATGGCTGCACAGGGAAGCCTCGGGATGAGCTCCAGGACTTGACACCCTTGTCCCAGCCCTGGGAGATGTCACTGTGCCTCAAGGAGCCACTGAGGTCCCCAAGCCACTCGTGTCCCCTTGCTGCACCAGCCCATGGGCTCTCCTGGGGCACCTACTTGCCTTGGAGTGGCAGCAAATGTCCCCTGGGCACAGCTCTGGAGCCCCCGGGGTACCCCCGGGCACAGCTCTGGATAACTTGCCTTGCCAAAAGGGGCCCGGCTTAGCCTGGGGAAGAGGAAACCAGGGCTGGATTCGACACTTCAGCCGCAATGGAGGGAAGGAAGAGCTCCGTGTTCTGCGGGAACAGGCCAGGTCACCCCGGCTCCCGCTTGCAGCCAGAGGAGCAGGACGAGCCACTGGTGAAGGGCACTTGGATCCCTCCCGCATCCCTCGTGGATGCTCAATAGGGGCCTTTCTTCCACCTCCCCCTCCTGCCACCAGCTCGTGCCGCTCGGTGCAGGAGCCGCCGTGGCTACCAGGACATCGACCCGTCCTCCATCCCAGCGGGACAGGCAGCGGCATCGGCATCCCGAGCACATCTGTCACCCCTGGCCTGTCATTCCACCTACATCCCCCATGGGGGAAATGCTTATCCTGCCCGGATCCAGAGCGCCCAGTGCCTGAAGCAGCACCCAGCGCCACCATATACCACTGGGTGCAGGGTAGACCTCTTAGCCCACCCCAGAGAGCAGAATGAGGGCTCAGCACCCCCCAGCACCCTGATGATCACTCCCCTTTTCCCTTCCCAATGGCTCAACAGATGGAGATGGGAAAGCGACCGGAGACGATTCAGACCTCAGGGAGCTGCTTTGCTGCCCTGGTCTTGCAAGAAGCCAACACAGACCCGTGCACAGGGTGGCTGCAGTGCTGGTGGAGTCCCCGATGCAGCACAGAGGGGAGGAGTGGGGAGGATTCAGGCCTCAAAAACACATCAGTTCACAGGAAAATTCAACTTCAGAGCCCCGAGCTCACACAGGCTCCGGGCCAAGTCACATCCCACGCGGGCCCCACTTTCCCCTCCCCAAGCACACGCGGCAGAGCCCCCCGCTGCTGCCTCGCGGCAGAGACTGAACCTCTGTGGGACACGAATCCACTGCAGCCCCCGAGGATGCCAAGCAGCCGAACGAAATTCCCACTGCTTCCTCCTACCCCAGGCCAGGGGAGAAGGAGGGAAGAGCCAGCGGCGGGTGCACGTGCCAGGATGCTCCCGGCGGGCCCGTTCTCCAGCTTGGAGGATGGACTCTGGGGCCGGGGGGCTGAGCAGGGGCCCCTCACCTGGCCCCGCTGCCCGGCGCCGCCTGGCTCTCCTTCAAAGCCATTCCTCGGCTAAGAGGAGCTGGCAAAGGACACGGGACCAGCTGGAAAGCGCCTCAATTAAAGGCAGGAGAGGGGGAAGGAGGCCTGCCGTATCCTGGACCTTCCCAAAAAAGGTTGCTGAAGCTGCCAAGTGGGGGGCTAAAACCCTGCTTGGCTTTTTCACGCCGGGGGGCATCCCTCTGGAACTGGCTCCTGCTTGATGCCAGCGGGCTCTTCCCCAAACGGCAGAGCTA